TAAGCATCATTCTATCAGGGTACTCCTCCCTGATCTTTGAAATCAATAAGGTACCCATGCCAGAACCTGTTCCTCCACCAAGTGAGTGGCACACTTGAAAGCCTGCCAAAGGCAACACAGTGAGCCACACATTAAAATTGGGCTTTAGCAAGAACTCATAGATTAGCATTAATCTGCCAGACATTCTAATTACGTTCTAAACATCTTCAATATACGCAGCATTGGCTAAAATAGAACCAAATTACTCACCAAAATACTATCTACACAACCAATTAAATAATTTACAATTAACAGCACGTTATCAGTAGCTAACAGTTCATCTACTAAAGCATTACAGAACTTAAATTAAAGGTATCAAATCTGTATATTTTTACCTTGAAGGCAGTCACAGTTCTCAGCCTCCTTCCTCACAACATCAAGAACGGAGTCAATAAGTTCAGCACCCTCAGTATAATGCCCTTTGGCCCAGTTGTTTCCAGCACCAGACTGACCAAAAACAAAGTTATCAGGCCTGAAGATCTGGCCATATGGACCGGTGCGGACACTGTCCATAGTGCCGGGCTCCAGATCCATAAGAACAGCACGAGGTACAAACCTCCCACAAGATGCCTCATTGTAGTACACATTAACACGCTCCAATTGCAAATCTGAGGTTCCAACATATCGTCCAGTTGGATCTATCCCATGCTCATCACACACTACTTCCCAGAACTTTGATCCAATTTGGTTGCCACATTGTCCTCCTTGAACGTGAAGGATTTCTCTCATCTTTCCTGAAATTCAGAACAACATTGGCCAACAAGTTAATGTCAATTAAGAACCATACACACTTAAGAATAGCGCATTACAAAGAATTTCATCTTTTTTTTTGCTTTATGAATAATTAAGTGATTTTCCTTTTTATAATGGAAAACCGTTCTTAACGAGCATAACCAATACAGCAACATCATAATGCTGGATATACTTATTGCTGTTTCACCAAAAAAATAAAGAAATCAGTAAAGATCAAAATCACTATACATACCAAAATAAAATGAAATCACTCAGATCCGCAAAAAATTTATAAGATCACAAAATTAAAAGCATATTTTAGCAATTTGACACCAAATCAACGTATTCAGTGATAGATCTACAAAATCCCCAACCACAAAACCTCGAAAAAGAACATTCATATTCTTATAATTGTGACAAAAATCGACAGTAAAACAACAGCGAGAGCAGATCTACATCATAAAATCTATTTCGATAAATAAAAAATAATATGAAATTCACCGGCATTTCCACAAATTTTGATTTAAATTGCTCTGAAATGAAAAAACCAGATCTGTATAATGAAACTTTCGTACAAAACAATCAAAAAGGGGTAAAACACCCCACGATCTGCTAACATTTCCACAAATTCCATAAATGCAAAGCAAAATAATCTCACACGGATCACCTATACACTAAAAGACACCGAATTAAGCGAATAAAACATTTGAGAAAATGCGGCACAAGAAATCGAGGAAATGCGATTTAAATTGAACGGAGACATATATTAATGTCAGAAATTTAAAGTTAAACTACTAACCTTTAGTTTGATTAAGAGAATTCCGATAATCTGTTCTGAAAATTCGATCGAGAGAGCAAAAATCGCCACTCGATCGAGAGAAAGAGAGAGAGAGAGAGAGAGAGAGATGGTGGGGGTGTGACCGTGTGAGAGTGAGGAAAAATATGAACCCTACTCGCTGATTATATATAAAGCGAATGAGAGATCAACGGCTGATATTGCTTCCCTCCTATTTCTGGAGGGCCAACAGATGCCGTTGGATTAAGACAATCAACGGTTGGGATTGGGTAATTAGTACTAATCACTGAGATTTTGAAAATTTTTAAATCCGAGAGATGAGTCGTTTGACGGAATTGCCCTTTGGTTGAATTACTAGAATGTCCTTTGACAGTTGTAAAGTTTGAATTCGTGCACTTGTCTCGTATTTTGGAAACCGATTCAAATTTTTTGGGTAAATTTTTTTTTCTTTTATTGTTCTGATCAAGTCTTTTCTGGCCATAATGTATCTTGGAGCCTGTCGTTTTTACATTTTACACCTGGGTAAATGTTAACGTTCAAAAAACTCCAAAATCCAGCCGTTCAGACCAGATTAGACACGTACTATTATTTATTTATTACTAGCAAATCTTATCCAATACATTTGCGGTACTTTATTAGTCGTATTTTTTTGGAACTTATTTGAACTGTAAATTTTTCAAAAGAAGAGTCACTCCACACGTCTTTAAATCATCTTTTTGCTTCGAATATATTACACCGTTTTAGTATATCTTTCTTTAAAAAATATAAAAGCTTACAAACCAAATAGGGCTTTTGGATGGCTGGTATGTTTCTCAATCTTTCTTCGAAATGCACCTAGGGAGTTTTTTTTTTTAACGCATCGGTAGGGAATAATTAAGATTCAACCAAATATAGTACAAGTTCAATTAATTTTATTTGGGTAGGAAAAAAAATAAAAACTTATGAGAAGAAAGGCAATGATGAGACTAAAAAATTAGTTAAATGAGAATCAAACTGTTGTAATAGATGTCAATGAAATATGAAAAAGGAAAGTCCCTAACAAATTTTACTAGATTTTTTGAATGTCAAATATATGTTCTTCTTCATGTTTTCTTGAGCCCTTCTTTGTTATTATGTCTATACATTGCATATATTTTCCTTCCAAATAATTTTGGGAGACTCAGATATATATTTCGGACATTAATTTTTTTCCAAGGAAAAAAGAAAACTCATGACTCTGAATAAACTATGCTTGAATATCTTTAAATTATTTTTTGCGCTTGAATTTTTCACACTATATTCTCTTTTATTGTTTAAAAATAAATTTTTGCAGGTTAGTTGATCAAAATTTCACATTTGCCGTGAAATTTTATTTTATGCATTTCTCTACCATTTTGCCTCACATACATAACATCTTAAAAAGCGTAATAGTAATCTTTTAACAAAAAACTTTCTAAAAAATGCAATCCAAACAACCGCTAATATACTTTAACCCCTATAAATTTTTAAATCAGCTCATTAAACCAAAATTCTAGCAAAATATGTCCCCAAACCCAGGCACATTACTAATAAAATGTTAGATTTTTTTTTTTTTGCTTTTACTCACCCAATCATTTTTTTATGTTCCCTGTTCTTTTTCTTGTTTATTTGTTTCTCATTTTTTGCTACGTTTTTCCTTCTGTTAACCCTCTCCCTCCCTTAAACTCTTAAATCATCAAGAACTTCTTGTTCTTATTACCCCTTTTTGCTTCCCCCTGTTTTGCCTCTTTTAGAAAAAAGAGAAAGAAGACCAAATGCTTTGGCAACATTCATGTCACACCTCCATGATTGATCGTATGTCCACAATTCTAGCCACAGGTATAGGTCTAAACACACACATGTATGTTTCTAAAAAATGACCTACCGTAAAATTGATTTTTTCATCTATTCGAGCAAAGAGACAAAAAATTGCAAAAATTGATGTATTTAGTAAAGTATAGGATAGATATAGGGGACACTATATCTATGTATTGTATATGATGGGCATTTTTGTTTAAAAATATGATTAAAAGTTCAGCACAAAATACTAGTTAAGCAAAATTATGTATATAAATTGTACGTTAATAATATGAATATATGTGAAAGTTACATACCTAAAAATTTTATAACTTTCAAATGTTTTACTCTACACCAAATTTACCTCTTATCCTTATGTGAGAAATTGAATTCACTACTACTCATCAGCTTATTATTTTATAGAAAAAATCGTTCAATACATCCATCACATTTTGTCAAATAATGTTTTTCGTCCCTCACTTTTAAAAGTATAATTTTACGTCTCTTACAAATTCACATTAATCAAATTTGATCCCTACCTAAATTTTCAATTAGTTTTTTGCTGAAATTTATCATGTGCTTTGCATGTGATCATTTTTTAAGGACAACATTGTGAAGTCAAATTTTACATAATCCGATCTATAGTCCCTTATATTTAACAAAATTAATTATTTCATCCCTTATATTTCACAAAATGCATTGTTTCATCCCTCGCATTTCACATAATGAATTTTTCATCCCTCATTAATCATGTGTACGAATAGTTTTTTTTTTTAAAATCTATGTATATATCTATTTGATTTCACTCGAATAGTACGAATAACATAGAATATACCTCTATTTGATTTCACCTAAACAAACTAATTGTAGTTATACAAATGCTATTCAATAGATATATACATGGGTTTATATCTAACAATTTTGTTTTAAACCTATATATATCTAATTGATTTCACCATGCGAATCTATCCAATATTTGTAAACTTTTCTCTTTTGGTAATAATTTATTTATTGAGTTGTGTAATATGTGTGAGGACTCGTAAATTTTTCTTATTTTTATATTATTTTATTTTATTTTCTCATATGCATTTTCTTCATTATATCTTATTATATTGATTTTTCCAGACATTTTATAAGTGAATAGAGTTTTTAAAACATTTTTCTGATATAAGTTAGTTCCTATTAAGTTTGGAGTGTATAGTGGACAGTGGACGTGGGACCCGCTAGTGCACTAAGTGAGAGAAATTCGGCCAATTAGGTTATATTTTGTATACAGGGATTAATTTACTAGGTATTAAGAGATAGTTAGAGGTTACTTAGTCGGATTAATTTTGGAGAGACAAAAGGATATGTTTTAACTCAAAAGGTGCTAGGTGTCGCGACATGGTTGGTTCTTGGATTTTAACCACTATTCACTAACTTTACTAAAACCCAAAATTGGCCAACAATCATCTTCATTCTTTGAGCATCTTGGTCGAGCTTCACAACAACAACAAAAAAAAAAGAAAGAAAGAAAGCCTTCACTTATTCCTTCAATTCCTTGCTTTGATCTTGTAAACCAATCGTTAAAACTTTGATTTGCTCCATAAAAACCTTTCTCTTGTTAGGATTAAGGAGAGTGGTGGAGTGGTTTGAGAAAAAAAGGTGTTAAGTTGCTTCTTTTCTTGAGTTTACAAGGTGAGTTGCTAAGAACTTCTTCCTTTAGTCTTGATAATGTTAAATTAGTGGCTTTAGTGGTTGAACATGTTGATTTATGGCGTGTTTATGGTTGGAAGTGAAGTTTTGATGGATTTTGATTTATTATTGCTATTTTTCTGTTTTATATGATAATCATGGTTTAGTCACGGATTGAGGGGGTTTGTTATAGTGTAAAATGGAGGTAATATATGTTGGATATGATTGGTTGCGGAAAAATTTCTGGTTGGTGCTGAAATTCCAGTTTAGGGATTGTAATTAACCTTGTTCTACCTGGTACTGTTTGACCTAGATAGAGGCTGAATTGGCCTTAGCATAAAACATGAAAGTTGTATATAATGATGTTTTATAGTTTCCTGCAAAATTTCAGCTCAATCGGAGTACTGTAGTATATGAAATGACCAAAATACCCTTAACTGCCACAACCCCTGATTCGCTGACAGTTTTCTGTTTGCGTAGAGATTCTGATTTTTGACCATGAAAATGCATTATTTGGTTTTAGAGGTCTTCATAAGGAATGTAGGTCTCTGTCTTAGCTTCGAAATGCCATAAAATTCGTCTTAATCCGATAAACGTAGCTTAAGTTACGATCGAAACATTAAGAGACGTCAAACCTGCCTGTTAGGTCTATTGTCTTTCAAATTGGTTTTCGGTTGCATTATTAAAATTGTGTTGTAATTGACTGTATATGAAGGGTATTGTGACCCTAATTAGATGTTTTTAATAGCTCGTGAATTATATTTGAGGTTGTGGTTGATTTGGGTTGAATTTGGTGATGAATTGTAGGGTGAAAAGTAAGAAAAACAAGGGGAAATGCTGTTAAAATTTTCGCAGGAACCCCGGAGCAGTTATGGGAAATCTGCAATAACTGGAAGTTGAAATATCAGAATTGAGTTCCGTTTATTGTGTTTTAAACTAGATTCATAGGGCTATGAACCATGTAAATTTCAGTCTCTGGTTTGGTCTGTGGGATTTATGGTGATTTTTCAAACTTAACCAAAATCGTATACCTGCTCTGCCTTTTTCTGGTTAAGACAGCAATTTGAGGCTGGAATTTGATTGGCTTGTGATCTGAATCTTCTAAATGTGTCTTCTGAGAAATTTTACCCCTTTGAGTCTATTTTCCAACGGTGTAAATTTTACCAATTTTGGACTTAAGAATCCTAAGATATGATTTTTCAATCAGGGGTGTGCAAAACTGGAAAAATTCTGTTTTCTTGGAATTATTCTCACTTTCAATTTCACCTTGAGATATGAGCTAGTACATCATTGTAAGTATGATTTTGAGAGGAGTGAGGGGTTTTTGGGTCGTGTATGTCCTTAGGACCAACCGTTTTCTTTTATTCTTAAGCCGTCTTTTATTTTTTTCGTACTAGTATATAATTTAGAGAGGTACCTGACTAGTAATCGAACCTCAGTTGTGCATCCTATTTATTCGGTTTTGGATGAGAAAATTTCAATTGCTTTACCTTTGTTATTCTTAGGGTTTCACGGTGATTAGGCCACTTTGGATGGAAATTTTTGGAAGTACATGTACTTGAACTGGTGAGTGTACCACTCCCCTCATTTGTTGCTTAACTTGATTTCTGCACTTGCAATCTGTGATCTGAATGATTGTACTATCTGTTTATTTTGTTTGAGACGAGGGTGTACTTTATCACACTCGTTCTCTTGTCTGTCTGTATATCTACTGTCTGTCTGTATGCCTCCTTACTGTGTATAATCTGTTATCTGTATCTGAGTTTGTTCGGACGTCGTTTGGAGGTTGGTATCCAACGACCTTTCTGTGACCTTTGAACTCAACACCTATGGCTAGTTACTCGAGTCGGGCCGACAAAGGCCTGGTCGATTAGATAACGAACCACGGTAGTCTGTTCTGGGAATCTTTGAGTATTGAGACTCTTGATTCCGGTAAACTCGAGTATTACCATTACTGTTCCTGTTCGGCGTTCGGGCCCGGTAGGGGTATGTTTGGTGGACGGGAAATTGGTGTAAAGCGGGGTCTACGGACATATTGGTTCTATTTACGTTGACGGAGAGTTAACGGGTTCGGACCAAGTACTGCAAATGGAAATCTGGCTCCTGAGAGCCACTTGTATCCTTTCTCTTTAAATCACTGTGTCTAATTGTTTTCCTTTATATCTGGTATATGTATCTGATTGGTTAAACATGAAAGGCCATGGTTTTACCCCTATATGTTTGGTAGCTCATTGAGCGCAAACTCACCCCTTTCTGTTACCTTTGTTTTCCTTATAGGGGACATACTTGGAAATCACGGTTTTGGAAGAAAATGGTCAAGCTAGTATATATGTCATGTTGTTAAATTCTTTTGGAAAACAAAGCCCTAATTGTATTGCGTGTAGTATGAATACCTCGGATTGCACTGCATGTTAATTTGTTCAAGACTCCAATGTAAATATATGTAGTTTCCGATTGTTTGTTTTCTTTGGATCCTATCGCGCGTACTATATTGGGTTTGTGTGTATCGACTCCGTAGTCCTGGCGAGATTTGGGCAGGCGGTCTGTCGAATCCTTTGGTTCGCCTTAAGGGGAGGTAGGGCTGTCACAATATGACCATCTAATTAATCGGTCCTAACTTGAATTTTATAGTCATGCTAACAAAATGCAGTTTAAATCTGAAATTTCTACTCGCCACCTTTAAGACAACAGTTGAATTTCTTGCCTTGTAATTGTTTTAAAATTTGAAAGTGTCAATCACTTATTTCTTTTTATCATAGTTTTCCCTTGTTTATTTTTTTGTCCAAATTTCATTCAATATAAACATTTAATAATGTTTAAGATTAAATGTCTTCATTGTTTTCCATTTTCGAGTAAATGAAAATGAACATGAATGAAAAACTAACAAATTTTTTTTAAATCCCTATATATATCTATTTAATTTCACTTGAACAGGATGTTTAGATGAAATCAAATAGAGATATATTACATGTTATTCGTATTGTTCAGATGAAATTAAATAGATATATACATGAGTTTAAAAAAAGTTATTCATACATATGATTAATGAGGGATGAAAAATTTATTTTGTAAAATGTGAGGGATAAAAAATTCATTTTGTGAAATATGAATGACGAAACAATTCATTTTGTGAAATGCGAGAGACTATGGATTAGATTATATAAATTTTAATTTGACAATTTTGGGCTTCAAAAATGATCATTTGCAAGGTACGTGGTGAGTTCCGACAAAAACCTAGTCAGAAATCTAGGTAGGGCCCAAATTTGACCAATGTGAATTTGTAAGAGATGTAAAAGTATATTTTAAAAGTGCAGGACGAAAAAGTTATTTTGTAAAATGTGAAGGATGTTTTGGACGATTTTTCCTATTTTATAGGTATAAATTTATAGAAATTATGATATATGTCATTACTATTTTTATTTTCAACTTCAGAGGAATGTTATTATCCTTACTCAAATTCTAAAACTTTTCCAAATATTGATGTCTAATAATACATAAAGTATTTATTACATGTTTTATATGATTAATTAGAAAGTACTAGTATTTTTAAAGTATTTTAAATTTTTAAAAAAATATGAAAATTTTTTTGAATACTACATACAAAGTCGTATTAAACAAACATAATATTAGTATATACTAATTAAAGGAAAGAATATTATGAAGGTAAAGAAATATGAGCCAAATGTGAACAATTAAGATGTGAGAGCCATCACGAATATAACCATATAAGGAAAGGACAAAGAAAAGAAATAAAACGTTGGAAAAGGCAAAATGCAACGCTACCAAAAGTTCAAAAGAGTTTGGCGTGATCAACCCTAGTTTATGGAGGCATAACTATTTATCCGTCCAACTACTATGCTATTGGGTCAATTATGTAACACAGTGAAGGAAAAGCTACATGTGCACACAAAAAATAAGTAATTTTTTCTTTAACCTCATATATGTACATTTCAACGAGTGTTGCACATGTATTTATAATTGATGTACATGTGCTTCAATGCACGTCTCCACATACTGATTCGACAAATGAATTGGATTGAAGAATTGACTAGGCATCAAATTCAAGGATGGTGGGTGCATAGTTTGCAAGTTTCCATATTAAAGTCATGTCAAGATGCTTTGTATGTGTGTGTGTGTGTTCTTTTTTAAGATTCTTTGTGTTTACGTTATTAATGAACTGAAATTAGAAAGATAGAAAAAAAATAAAGAATTGAAATTCAACTAACCAACCATTGCATTAGACCGGGTGTTTAAATCTCTAATGTCTAGTGCATTACACAAGAAGTATAGTTTGTTATGTTTCTCTTTTAAAAAAATTTGAAGAGTGTAGTAGTGTACTTATCTAGTCTGGTGATTCACCCGCAACTCTCGTGTAAACCTCTTTAGATTACCTCTCTCCCATAGAGTAGGAGTAGGTTAAATAATTGTCATTCTACATAAAAAAGAGAAATTCAACTGACTAAAGACTTCTCCTCTTCCATAAAATAGGAGTAGGCTAGATAATTGTCATTGCAGATAAAAAAAAAAAAAATTCAACTAACCAGTATACGCAAGACTTGCATAATTTCTGTTTAGCTTTCAAGAAGAAGTATGCCAAGTACTAATGCTTAGGAGATTGGTAGTTTAATTAACTCCTCACTCAAGTATATCTTTTAAAAAAAGATAAGAAGTATGGTATTTTTAGCTAGAATTAAATATTTCCAATTTCATGATTAGTAACTTAATCTAATTTTGATCTTTTGGTTTTGTATTAGTATTTCTACAAAGGCAATGACACTTTTCGTATAGTGTGACGCCCTTTGCAAAACATTTTCCAAACATCAATCTTTTTTATTATCCAAAAAAGCATCAATATTCTTTTATGTTTATTGCGTGTGTGTGTGTGTGAACAAACCTTAAATTCCTTCTACTTTTTCGCTTTGCAGTAAAGTATGGAATAATTTCAATGTCCTTAATATTGGTCTCCATTTGGAGTTTACTACCCACCTATAAATCACTTTTTGAACGTGATGCCTAACAAGTCATACCCGAAATCGCAAACTTTCTTGATCATTTTTGGCTTTTTTCTACAATTATTAAATAAGGTGCCTTAAAGTAAACAACAGTACCCTTTGTTAGTGGTTGATCCGTCATTATCATTTACCAACATTTGTCGACAACTAGTGCTTTAGTACTTCATGCATAATCTACCCTTCAATGCTGATTATGAAGTAGTAATTAATCTTATTTCAAACAGGATGTCTGCTTTTCTTCTTACCCTACATTAAAAATGTTTGTCTTTTTTAGTCAACATACTAACTCATAATTTCCACTAATAGAAAGATCATGTAATGTGTCTAATTTTGTAAGCTAGATATCGGAATAATTGTTAGTTTTACTTGGGAGGTTAAGTTAATTAAGATAGTGGAACCAAATGTTTTTAAATTTCCTTATTGAACCATTATCTTGTTTCAATCAAATAGGAAATGAATTCAAATAAAAAAAGAAAAGAAAAAAGAAAGTTAATTTTAAAATATTGCTCTATGTTATCAAAAGTTGCAATGAGCTTGCAAAGATTATTTTATCAATGTACCCTTCAAATGGTTAAGGCACCATATTAGCCCCTCCATCCAAAAATTATCAATTATCTAAGGTCAAATGGGCTCCACAAAATCGAAAGGCACATCAATAAAAATTTCCATCTTTTTACATGCAGTTTTTAACTTTGAGAATGGTAGATTCTCCTTTGGCCAATTTAGACATTCACTTCCTCTTTTCCTGCAACTTGCTTTCCAACATCAAACCCCCAATGTCCCTATTACATGAGAAACCAACATAGGGTGACACTCAATTACACTGCAGGTGCAGTACTGTCAATGAGGTTGAGCCAATCCAAACTCATTCTGATTTTGCCTAAAAAGTTTATATTATAAGAAAATTCTAGAGTTTTTTTAGGATATTATTATCTCAATTGTATCTCTCAATGAAAATAATAGTTTGAATTTCAAATCTGTAAAGTTACTAAAATCTAATGGCTAATAACAATTTTTTTTTTTTACGATCCAACAGTGATTGAAATTGAGGGGATGATACCAAAAAAATAAAAATAAAAATAAAAACTGCAGAATCTTCCTTAAGATGTTTCCTGATGGAACCCTTACACTTCAATCAAACGCAACGCATGATAAGGACATATATGTCATTTCATGTTCTTTAAAAGTAACAAGAATCAATGATAATGTAGGACAAAAAGGTCAATTTACTGTCAAGAGACCGTCATCCTGATCTAGAACAAATCATTAGAGTTTAGAGATATCTTAGTCTCAGTGACGCATACAACGTTTTGTTTTAAGATCAGCAGATCTAATACACCTTTTCAAGAAGGGATAATTTGAGAAACCTGCTCTAAGGCTTTTGATAAGTTCACTTAGTATGCTTTAAGTTTCAAAATTTACACTTACTTCCCTTGTTCATTTAAAATAACAATAATAACCTTAATATTTTAATAAAACCCCTTTGTTGCCATGTTTATACAAGGGACAAATTTTATAGCTTTTTTTTTCACATTCATTTCTCTTATATTTCATTAGAAATATAGACGAGTTATGAATGTTGTGTTTAACCTTTATCTCGATCAAATGTCAAACTAATAATATTTTTTTGATAACTTTTAATATTATCTAATTTTTTTGTATCAAAATCAAGAATAAATAAAAATAACTAAAAACAAATAGTTTAAAATCACTAAAATATGGTAGTTCCGTCACTAAACTAGTCCAAAAACTTTTCTTACAAAAATAGCCCATAAATTAAAAAAAAAAAAGATAACACTTTTTCTCTATCTTAAAAATATCTATATCTCTAATAAAGCAATATGAAAAGTAACCTATTATAACAAAAGATTTATTGTTATAGTTAATTATCAAGTAACAAATATTGGCATGAAAACTTGACACTCATGCCTTTTATAATTGTACTAAATTACTTTACAATTGTTTAAAAGAATAAAATAAATTTTTTAGGATAAGGAAATTTTAGGATATTCATTAAATTTTGACCTATTTTAAGGTTTGGCTATTAAAGTGATTAAAGGAGGTAGGTGTAATGTTCAAAACTTTTGAAGGAACTAAGTGAAATAGTTATAAACCTCGGAGGAGGTTTCTTTTTTTTTCAACAATCGGAATTGCTAGAACTAACACAACAAAGTTAGATTAACACTTAGAGGTAATCAAAATTTTGGTGCAAAGCACAATCTAAGGTGAAACTCACAAACTAACACCATCTAGTCAATTGGTAATTGGAAGTGCGGCTGAGAACCTTAAACCAAAGTAACTACCCACAATCTTTCGGAGGAGGTTTCTGAAATTATCCC